CGTGGTGAGCAGTATGAGTTTGCTCAAATCTGGCTGCTGACTATATGCATCCAGCTGAAATTTTACATTCCTTATGAAAAATTTATGCAAACTTATTGGTTCTTATTCTTCAGCAGAAGTGAACGCAGGCTTTTCTAATAAATTTTTCTCGAGAGAAATCTTCAAGTAATAGAATTATAGCAAGATTTCTCGCTTACACTAAATCTGTAGAATACAGATGTGTACAGAAGGCGTGTAGATGATGACCACAGTATAAAAAATGTTAAGAACAAGTGAAGTTTTCTGCCACTGCTGCTACCAACAATGACGGATCTTCCTAATTTCGGCATAAACAAAAGGAAAAAAAATATGCCTTCTCTGGATGGTGTTCCTCTGGCGCAGTGTAATTATTAGCACTAGAATCTGGACCCCTTCTTTTACTTCCGGAACGTAGCAGCTAGTGAATCTTTTGAATCCCATGCCCTGATGGTTTGTGACTTTCCCCTCTGTTGTTTAGGTAAGTTCTGGTTCACTGGACAATAAAATGAGAAAAACGCAAAAATTTCTAGCGACTGAGGGATTGTCTAGTTTGATGCGAGGGTAATAAAAAGAATGTCAATGAAATTTAAATATTTAAGTCTTCACTCAAAATTTTATCAATCTTATCAGTTAACCCATAACATTTCAAAATTCCCATAGAAAAGTCTTTGTTTGTTTGGGGATTAGCAGAGGATTTCAGTTTCCTGGCCCTAATTTCTAGAAGTCTTTGCAATTTATGACTTGTGTAACAAAAAAAACAAAAATAGTTGACCTTCAAGGACTGTCCCTCGGCAATGTACTGGTCAATAGTGGTGAGTGCGTTTGCAGCTGCACTAGGCGAAACATCGTAAGGTACAGTTGTCAGCAACTGTACACCTCGCCGACACCATTTATTTGCCTGCGAATTTGACCAAATTGATTATTTAGTCAGAAACAAAAAATAAAAACCTCCTACCACAGTTGCCCTTTATGAGTGATGAAGGCATGCTAATAACACCTTCTGGCAATGATTCCAACGATTTTCTTTTTCAGTGGTTGTTTAGGAGCAAGTTCAAAGCGAGTTTGACTGCCTGGCATATGCTAGTACCACTTTACCATTGAATGATTGTTTAGCACTTGAAAAAAAAAACAGGCTATCAAAGCCTCTGGAAAAAAGTATTACAGGCGAAATATCGGACGATCAAATATTGTTTAAAGGAAGTTTACTGGTAGGTTCAAGCAAAGTAACATTAATGCAACAAAATAACTGCACAGCTTTACGGCACAAACTTATCATATCACAACCCTCAGATAGTTTGTAGCCCTATCAGTTTGAGAACACCGTTATCCTGGTAAATGGAAATAGTGGTGTTCTCAGACTGATAGTGCCAAAACCAATCTGAAGATTGTGCTATGACAAGTATATATCGTCACGCTCTAATTATCTGTATGTTGGCTGTGCTTGCTAAAAATTCGATTACTCCCTCATTCCTCATCCTTCCACAGTGAGAGAAATAAGGTCATGTTTTCAAAATCCTCAAAATGAGAAGTGGAACTGTCAGAGAGAGACTTTCAGAAGGAACTGAACTTACTTTGATAAGATGAAATTCTTAGCACTATTTTCCAACTGTGCAGCTTGCACTGGTCATTACTTTAACCATCGTGTACTGGTTAAAAGTAGTGGTCAGCGCATAATGCTGCATAAAAGCTTGGGCGGTTTAAGACAGAATTTAATTGACACCACCATTTTGATGACAACGAGAGGTAAATCCGTAGTGATTTCGGTAAGGAACGCGTCCTGGATCAAAGCATTGAAAAATTAGCGTAACTGCTAACCCAAACTTGCTAAGTTCTTACAAGATCGATTATGCCAAAGCGCATAAGCAGTTCACTACGAAGTGGCCAATGTAACTCTTCCGTCTGACCTCTGACATATTCCATTAAAGTGCGCCTCTTTGAAGTGGATTGTTTACAGCAAGTCCACCACATTTCCTGAAGCGCCGAGGTACTTTGCCACATTCAAAATAAGGCTCTAATTGACATGCTTTGTCGGAATCTCTTGAATTTTGAAGTGCTTTCCGAATGAGAGTGGCCCAAGGGCGACAGTAGACTCTTATCAATGCAGGGATAACAGATGGCACCCTAAAAGTGACAGATGGCCTGTCCATGCATCAACGCTATTTGATCAATCCGCTAGAAGCAACTGAAAAAGAAAAGCTTGCGTATTTCTCCGAATAAGATTTGAATTCGAAGTGAAAGTATGAGAATATATATTTCTCCGAAAAAAGTTAAAGTTAACCATAATGAGTCGAGTTTTGCCCAGATGAGACAAGATTTGGCCACAAGAAATAAGGTTTGATTGGTCAAGGTAAGATTTGGTTAGTTTTATAGAGAAAACCAAACAGTAAAAACCCGCGCAGGGTATTTTACAGGATCAGGCCCCTAAAAGCTGAACTTTCTTCAGAATCAAACACTCAAGACGTGCAGGTTTCTCAGAATCAAATCCTTAAAACCCAGAATGTCCCTCAAATCAACTCTTTAAAGTTTATAAGTCCCTCAGCCAGATATAGCTGAACCATAATTCGGGTTATGGTTTTGAAGACACCGTTTGAAAAAAGACCTAAAAGCTATTTTTCGTAAGCTTTATGGATAGCCGAAGACGCTGTTCCTAAAATGTATCAATTTCCGAGCATAAATTGTCAGACGGTTATGGCACATGCGTACCTTTATTACACTTGGAAAAAATTTGCAAAATGCATTCTTTGATTTATGACTGGCAAACGTATAAAAAATTTTGGAGAGACGAATAAAGCTCAGCTTCTCTTCAAAAGTATCTTCATGTTTTTTGATCTGTTACATCAATATTTTTATTCAGTTTACTGCTAAACGGCTCACTTCTAAAAACAGCAAAGGCATGATGAACACACCAGTGTTGTTACTAAAGGTTAAAATTTTGAGCATGTTACTTTTTGACCACGCTTGGAACTTGCTTTTAGCTCTTCCTTTAGCGCCTGACCTTTGACCCAAGAAGTTCCTATCGTCTATAAATCAAGGCCTTTAACCCAAAAATGTGAATCAACTTAACTGAGCCCTTAAATAGTAATAAAGTAAAATAAAAGAAGCATACGTACAGAGGTAGTAATATGGGAAAAATCAAAACTACTTATATGAATATATGTTTATATATAAATATATACGTAGTTGAATAATAATGTCTGCTAAAATAAAGAGGTGTTCCATCAAGTTATATACGTGTAAGGTAGCATATGAAGGATTCTCATTAGTCCATTTAGACTGTTTCATAAAACTAACCGCCAGTACTTGCTCGTGCATATCTTTGCTTAGCCGTAGTACTTTGCTTCGTCGCTCAAGTGCACCACTGAGTGCATCGGCCATTCGATCTAACTCGTCGCATTTCGGCAATAAACTGGCTGTTAATTCAACATCCTGCGATGAGATGAGCTCTTGTCCTGCATCGCGTAACAAGCGGGCACCATTCACGTCTTCCTGAAATCGACTTTTTTACGCATGTAGTGCAAATGATAAAACAAGTCTAAGAAGCGTGGAGTATTAGTAGGTATGGCATCCACGCAATGTTAGAACACAGAGAAGGCCGCCGATGTGACGAAAGGATCCATCAGAAAGGTTATATGGAATTACGTTTAATAAGAGAGAGTCAAGAGGAAGAAGAATGGAGAAGCTGCCAGATTCATCAATAGCGAAAAGTAATAAAGTGGCAAAACGTCCTATCAAAATATAAAAATATTAGTAGGAAATGGGAAAGGGAAAATTTCGTGCTGCCATAGCCATTATAAAACAGTTGTA